TCGTAATGATGAAATTGAGAAGGCTTTAATGCGATATGGTAAATTGGCTAGTGAGATTAAGATGATTCCATTGGGGTGTAAAAATGCAGCTCTGAAACATGTTATGTCTTTTCGGCGACAGGTGTTTATGTTCTTAAATGAATCAGAGTTGGATATTTCGTTCAGAGTGTTGCATGAAGGGAAAGCGTATGTTATTTACGCGAACATTGGAAGCATGAAATGTTTTGAGTGCGGGGACATCGGGCACAAAAGGCACGCATGTCCACATAAGGCCCAGGTTAGTGAAGTGGAAGTTAGGCCTAGTACTTCTGCTGCTGGTGAGAGTAGTAAGTCAACTTCTGAGCATGTGCAGCCTCAAGCTCCATCAGAGAGAAACACGGATAGTGATTGATTGATTGAAAGTCAGACTGAGGATGTTAATGAAATGGTTGATTCTGGTAGAAATCATGATGATTCTGAAGTGGATGGTAATAGTGTAAAGAATGATGATGCAGCTACGGTTAGTGTTGAAAGGGTTTCTAATGACAATTCTGAAATGTCTAATTCTGGTGAAATGTGTACTGATGTCGATTTGGGAATGAGATGATGATGATACGTTCTCTGAGATATCTGACATTGGATCACAGTGTGGAAGTGTGGAAGATGTATATACATTGCAAGATATAAATGACTTTCTAGATGTAACCTTCGGTAGAAATATTGAAGTTAAAGATTTTTTTCCAGATGTAGATAAATTCATTCATACAGTGAAATTGTTGCAGAGAAATGTTAGCTATGAGGCCTTAAGTAAACAGAAAAGGTTCAGGTTGAAGAAGATGTTAACAAAACTAAGAAAGGACAAAGCAACTGTCTCACAAAACAAATCAAATGTTTAAGTCACATGGGGTAAATATCTTGTTCTGCCTTTCTTTTCTTTTTTTGTCCTCTCTATATTTGTTCCTTTTTATGGAGCTGTTGAGGGTGGCCTCTTTAAATATAAATGGGGGTAGAGATGGAAATAAATTGGCAATGGTATCAGAGTTATTTAGTATTAAAAAGATAAATGTAGCATTTTTACAAGAAACACACACTAATTTAGACAATGAATCTGAATGGAATAGATGGTGGGAGGGAAAAAGTGTTTTAAGTCATGGGACAAATACAAGTGCTGGCATAGCCATTCTGTTTTCTAAAGAAATGAATGTAAATATTTTGGTTGTAGAAGAAATCGTAAAAGGAAGAATATTGCTGTTAAAGGTGGAATATGAGGGATCTGTGTTTGTATTGATAAATGTTTATGCACCAAATAATGGACCTGAGCGTGTGAAGTACTTTTTAAAGTAAAGGAATGCTATACAGAAAATTGATGATAGTTGTTGTGGGCAAGAGATGGATTAAACATGCTAGGTGTTTTTTTAGGAAATAAACAATTTCAGAATAAAAATTGGGAGGGAATGCTGGAAAAGGTGTCTGCCAGATTGCTCAAATGGAAATCGCTGTTACCGCTAATGTCATACAGAGGAAGAGTTCTGGTTGTAAATAACTTGGCTGCCTCAACTTTGTGGCAAAAAACTTATTGTAATGGAGCCACCTGAAGAATTGATTTTTGTGATCAATATATTTGTGGAGTTTTTTTGGAGTGGAGAACACTGGATTCGTGCAGCAGCACTCTACCTTCCCGTTTATGAGGGAGGTCAAGGTCTGGTGGATGTGCGGAGTAAGATCTGCGCTTTCAGAATACAAGCAGCACAGAGATTCCTGTATCATAAAAACTTAGCTTGGGCTCAGACTGCTAAAATAATTTTACAAAAAGCAGGTGGTCTTAAATTAGATAGACATCTGTTTTTAATGGAACTGGAAAAAATTAACCTGTCCGAGGTTACATCTTTTTATCGCTCAATGTTGCACTCTTGGAGAACTGTTTTTAAAGTGGAAAGAGATGTTGACGAACCCGGGAGATGGATGCAGGAGGAACCGTTGTTTTTTAACCCAGTGGTCCAGACAAGACTTTTGTCATCTGTAAGTGTGTGTGCATGTTTACAAAGACATGGCATTGTGAAGCTGGGACAACTTTTCTCTCTCTCTCTCTCTCTCTCACACACACACACACACATACACATACATAAACACACATACACAAACTAATAGCAGGTCCAGACAATAGGAGGACAGAGTGAAGGTACACAGGACCTAAAATTTCCACTCTTTTATTAGACCCGGGTCCAGTGGACCCGAACATCCTGTATGTAATATAAGTGTGTAGGGGGGTGTACAGTGAGTGGTCATTGAAAATTTGTTCTGATAAATGTTTGATAAAAAGTGAAAACGGGTCCCACAGACACAGACCCGAACACCATACAAGAGTTAATACCGAGTGCTTTACTACTGACTGACTGACGTCAAAAAGCAAATGAGAGGAATACCGGTGCATAGTATTTCCTACTTTGAGGCCATTATAATCCTAGCAGTAACAGTCAACAGCAAGATATGTAGATAAATACACAAATATGGAGGAAGTAACATGTAAAAAGTTTTTTTTAAGAAGAAATACACAAATGATGTGTGAGGCTCCATTATGTATCTTTGTACTTTCAGGCATGCATATTTTACTCTTTATTGTTGAGATAAAGCATTATTATGATTAAACAAACTCCTGCACTCTAAAAAAACACTGGGTTAAAAACAACCCAATTTGGGTTGTTATTAACCCAAGGGCTGGGTAAATATAGGACAGAACCCATCTTGGGTTAAATTTACCCAGCAAATTGGGTTGTTTATTTAACCCAGCTAATGGGTTTATTCATTTTTACTATATTACTAGCTTATTTTTTTACTTCATACATTAAATAATGTTTACAGATTAACTTAAGTCACATGATGTGACTCCATAACCTGCCAATAAACAAACAATAAACAGCTCTGAGGACATGTTTTAACATCCAAAGTATTATATTCTGTATCTTTATGAATAAAATCGTTTAATAAATGCAAAGCATCAGGCTTTTCCATCACGCAAAAAGACCGCGACACTCCTTAAAGGTGATTCACACCGCGCGCCTGTATGTGGCTCTGCATAAAATTGAACGATATACAGCACAGTAACAATTTTATAGATAAAATAAAATGTAATGCTGCAAAACAACCCAAACACTGGGTTGTTACATTTGACCCAGGAGCTGGGTAACACAAAAACTACCCAAACACTGAAAAAATAACCCCCAAAAAATGATCACTTCATCACTGATTGGCTGATGGCACAAAAATACAGTCTCAAACCTTCATTAGGCGCGTTTCCATTACCCTTCAAATTGCGAATTGAAAATACGCCTAATGGAAACGCGTCAATTTCGCAAAAACTCCCATATATCGCAAAAAAGTTTTTACGCTCGCATGAGGTGGTTTTTCAGGCAATGCGAAAAAGGAATAATTCGCAAAACTGCAATGGAAACGGCTTTTTCGCATTTACAGGTCACATGGCGTATGTAAAAAGTCATATGATCATTCTTCAACGTACTATAACCTCCAAGAAACACTTCATAAGTGGCAGCGCTCCAGTATAAGGGGCTTTCCCTACTATTAATGCTTAGACAATTTACACTGCACACGTCTGCGGTGCAGTGTGGCTCTGATACGGTCACTGAAGCTGATTGCGGCCACTCAATGCTTGTGTTTATGTTTTTATACAGTCTATGGTTTATTCCAGCCACGCCACGCACGTTTCTGAAGCGGCTCTCTTAGCTGCTTCTGTAAAGATACACGCATAAGCCTCCTTTGAATAAATATAGCCAAAATCCGTCAAAATCCGTTGCCATGACTTATCGCGCTATGGTTTATTCCAGCCGTGCCACGCACGTTTCTGAAGCGGCTCTTTGCTGCTTCTGTAAAGATACACGCATATGTCTCCTTTGAATAAATATAGCCAAAATCCCGCCAAAATCCGTTGCCATGACTTATCGCGAGAGGCAAAAGGTTACGTTTAAGTCTCATAACATTGGTTAATGGAAACGCCGTCATTTCGCAATACTTTTTTATCGACATTTATAAAATATCGCCAAAGTTTTGCGCAAATCTGTAATGGAAACGCGCCTAGTGACTGCTCTAGTATGGAGAAGAAATTCTGTGAAAGTTAATGGGACTTGAAACATTCTTGAAATTGTCATCTTTTGTGTTCTGCAGAAGAAATGAAAACATACTGGCTTGGATCAACATGATTTCTTGCTATGCTAACTTATGTTTAAATGCATTTTTTGCACCTTTTACAGTATATATGCAGCTTCAGTGCTGTAGTTGCACTATACAAATGCATAAATCAATGTGATCATGAGTCTTAGTATGAAAGTTTAATTATATTTTTCTTAACCTAATCTCTCTCTCTTTTTTCCCCCGTCATAGTCATCGCAGGCCTCGAAGTGATCACACGCATGTTGATCAGTGAACCTCTTTTTTCTTTTCTTTTCTTTTCTTTTCTTTTCTTGTGTTCATTGTTGGTCATTACACTGTGTGCATAGCTCTACAAATTCAGAAAAATAATTTCTTAAATATTGTGTTTAGTTTGGGACTCGGAAAATGCTGTTGATCACTGACATGATCAAAGATGAAAGAAAAGGGAAAACAAATTATAAGAGAAGATAATGCAAATGCTAAGCCGCTGTGGAAATATAATACTCCACAGTATAGAACAGGGGTGACAAACTCAGTTCCTGGAGGGCCGGAGCCCTGCAGAGTTTAGATTCAACCCTAATTAAACACACCTGATTCAACTAATCAAGTCCTTCAGGCTTATTTGAAAACTACCTGGGATGTGTTTTGGAGCAGGGTTGGAACAAAACTCTGCAGGGCTCCGGCCCTCCAGTTCTATAACAACACAGAGTAAAATGTGGACATGTGAGAACAAGGAAGAAAAATGTAAAGGGCTTTTGTTTTGAGTAATATACAAATAAAGTGACGTGCTGAATGACGGATGAGAGCAGATATAATAATCACATAGTTTGAAGCTGCAGACAGAAACATTAGATTCAGGACAGAAACACACAACCTCTAAAGTAAGAACAACTCACTTATTTAACTAGAATTAGACTTTTGAGATGTTAATAATGTCTCAATGATTGTGAGTTGTGTTCTGCTGCTAAAATGTTTTTTTGTTTTTTTTCTTATTACAATGTGTTTTACTATCTTATTCTTCCTCAGAAATGGAGCAAACTCTATATTTCATTCTTCTTCTCATTGGTGAGTGTTTGTGGTTTTATTTATGGTTTCTAGTTTCATTATTGATCCTGTTATGAACAGTGTTGGGGGTAACTCATTACAAGTAATGTGAGTTACGTAATAAGATTACTTTTTTCAAGTAACTAGTAAAGTAACGCATTACTTTTTTAATTTACAAGAAAATATCTGAGTTACTTTTTCAAAAAAGTAATGCCAGTTACTTTGTTTTTTAAAAGTAACTTTCCCCCGACACCTGTTATGAAAAGCATTAAAGCAAAGCCTCTCTTTCACAGCTCTCTGCTCCGTATCTGAATGTGTTCAGCGTCAGTATCACTTTATAAATGAGAACAAGACCTGGACTGAACCTCAGAGATACTGCAGAGAGAATTACACAGATCTGGCCACCGTTGACAACATGAACGACATGAACGAGCTGAAGAAGAGTGTGAATGGTGGAGGTTTTCAGTTTGTCTGGATTGGGCTGCAGAAGACAGGTCACAATAAATGGCAGTGGTCTTCAGGTGAACCTGCGCTCTATCTGAACTGGACAACCAGATAGCAGTTATTGTGTTATGACGTTAAATGGACAATGGCATGATTTTCCATGTAGTTTTGCCCAGCATTTTATCTGCAACAAGAGTGAGTACAAACACATAATATATGTAGCCTAGGGGTTTTCAACCAGGGGGTGAGAGAACCTTTTAATTCAGAGGCAAACACTTGAGTAATTATGAATACGAGCTAGCAAATCTTTAGCCATCCACTAAGTCTGCTTAGTCCCACTTCTGATCATTCGACAGAGAAGAGTTGTAGCGTGTATCTAGTACTAGTAATAATACTAGTACTACTAATAATAGTAATAGTACTTTGTTGTGGCAGTTATATCTGACAAACCTATTGTTAACTAAAAATAAACAGAAAGAGAGAGATCAGATTATAATCTAGCAGCTCTAGACTTATATTATCTAGAATATTATCTCATAATAATATTCATAATCATAACAATGTAGCGGCACAATGAAAACAAAGTAAAACCACTAAGGAGCTGAGTAAGGAAATAACTTCTGTGACACATTTAATCACACTTGATATCTTGAATCATTTTTTTTTTAATCCACTGAAAACATTTCTGGCAAGTTCTGATGATTCTTTAAACATTAAACTAATTTGGACATTAATGTAAACATTTTTTATGATTCATTAGTATCACTATTATTATTACTTCTGATAAAGAAGAAGGTGGTAGAAGCAGTAGTATTGTTAATATTATTATTATTGTTGACATAATTATGGAAATACTATTATATACCCTTAAGTACAGTATAGTTTGCATGTTTTGTGATCACTATTATTTTACTACCAGAGTACATCCCCCTACCTCCCTTTTTCTCATTTATTTATTAAGTTCTTACGATTCTTTTGATCAAGTTTAAAATCATTTGGACATTCATGTAAATATTCTTTATGTTACTCACACACGCACACATTTTTTTTCTCTCTTCTTCAAACACTCTGCTTTACACATGTATTTAGATTCATGCAAGTGATATACACATACACAACCTCACACCCACACTCTTGTTTGTTTTTTGTGATGTTTGGTTTGTATTTATGGTGTTGTCTTCCTGTATTTTGTTTTATTATGACATGTCCAAGAAACAAATTTAAGAAGAACATTTAAAAAAAAAAAGAAAGAAAGGCACATGGTCAGTTAGGGTAAAATTAGAAAATACACAAAAGGAGCAAAGAACATAAAATAGTACTCAACTGCGCCACCTGGAGTACACAAGGAAATACAGCCCTACACAAGGGCACTGTTACGGGGCGAACGAGACGAGAGACGTACGGATCCATATGCAAGACTTTATTTCAAGGCGTGGTCATAAAACAGGCAAGGGTCAGACAACAACACAGGTACAACACAGGCAAGACAAAAGAGTAATCCGAAACAGGCGTGGTTGATCGGCGGCTGACAATATCCAGAGAGCTTGACAAGAGGGGTAATCCGACAACAAGAGCAATAATCCAGGCAAGGTGCACACATAGTTCGAACGGCAAGACGAAAGGGTAATCCAAAATACACAGGCAAGAATCCAGACACGGGAAAGACTATGACATTAGCTATGTTTACATCACGCATTTTGAAGTATCGCATGAGAAACGAGTGATGGAAATGCCAAATTTCGAATAAAAATCCCTTAATTCGCAAAAAAAGTTTTTACGCTCGCTTGAGGTGGTTTTTGACTTGTGCGAAAAAGGGTTAATGCAAATAATGGGAGATGGAAACGCATTTTGTGAATAAATTCCCCATGAGCGTTAAAAAAAGTCACGTGACTTTGCGCTATGGGACAGCATAACCTGACTAACCAGCAGACCGATTTAGTTGCACAGCAACTGAAATGTTGTCATGGTAATTCTGAAGTCCCCGAGCAAAGTCTGTCGTCAAAGTATTTCTGTATAACTGCCTCCCAGAACGGTCTACCACGACTACGTTCCCAAACAGCTGATATTCACCTCCGAAAGCAAGACCGCATTTATTGTGTTTCATCTGCTCACTCAAAGCGCAAGTAATTTATTATATTTGGGAATTATTATATTCAGTGGCTTCTCTTACTTAGTGATATTTGTTGCCAGTTTATCAGGAAGTGACAATTTTCTTCGCTCTGACTCGTTGGATGGAAACAGTGCTTGTTCGCAAATGTTTTATGCGATATTCAACTTTTGCGCCTAAGTTAAATTCGCAACTTTGGATGGAAACCCGGCTTATGACTAGAAACTGAGAACTAGAAACTAGAGCATAAAACTGGCACCATAATGTAGCTATCACTAGGTGAGCGATAAACACTGAACAATACTCGGCAGTGAGAAAGAGGAAGTCCATGGCTTATGTAGGGTGTTTGATTGATTGCAGCTGTGTGTGTAATCAGTGCAATGGATGATGGGAAATGTAGTCCGGTGTGAAGTGCAATAGTAGTGTGGTGCAAGAGTCCATCGTAATGAGTGGGTGATCTCTGGTGGTGAGCGAACAGAAGGGCAGGCACAGGATTCGTGACAGGCACAAAGGTTCATTGACACTGGCAGGGTGAATGAAAACAAAACTAACAAAAAAGTCCCTTTAAATACAAAATGAATTTAAAACATTCAACCAATACACTAATGCCACAAATCCTCCGTAGATAATCACTAAACAATATCAAACACACAGTCACTGAAAATACAAAAACAGGGAGATGGCCAGCAGAGGCGCTCCGGTTTCCACTATTACACGATTCCACTACACCTACCATAATTCACAACATAGAGTCCACAATGAGCAGAATCCAATAGTGACGCATACCAGGCCAACAAACCCCTCGCGTTTTTATACTCCCTAAAATGGGAACTGATAGGCTCACAGAACTGGCATGAGACCAGCCAATACCCTGCTACAAAAGAAAGAAAGAAAGAAAGAAAAAGAAAGAACCAATATAATGAATGAGACTTATAAGTAACAAACTTGTATCTGCTTTTATAGAGCATGTGTCTATACAGTTACAAACCTTAATGGCACAAATTACTCACCATTATATCTGTTCAAATACAGACTCAACTATAAATTCATCACACTGCTATTTTAGGGTTTATTTATATTGTGTGTCTGTGTGTATATATATATATATATATATATATATATGTGTGTGTGTGTGTGTGTGTTTATTTAGATACTTCAGCATTGCTTTTTTTTTTACCCTGAAAGCGAACACAGGACTTGTCTTTATCAACCAGATGAAGAATTGGAGAGACGCTCAGAGTTACTGCAGACAGAATCACATTGATCTGGTCAGTGTGAGAAACCAGAATAAGAATGAGAAGGTTAAGAAGATCATTAGTGATAATCACTCATCTGGATCATTTGTCTGGATCGGTCTGTTCAAAGACTCATGGCAGTGGTCAGATCAGAGTAGGTCATCATTCAGATACTGGGATCCTACTCAACCTAACATTAATGCAAACTGTACAGCAGTAAAATATGACTCTCTGGGACAATGGCATGACATCTCCTGCACCAACGCATATCCTTTTGTGTGTCATGAAGGTGAGCAGATCCTCACAAAACACACACAATCCATCCATCACCTCCAGATCTCTTAAAGTTCCCGCTACACGTCTGACATGACAAATTCATGCAGTGTTTGTTCTGCATGTTGTTTTTGATGAGTCTCTCTCTAGTTTCTGCTTGTGCTTTGTTTGGTTTCCAGATAAACTGATTGTGATCAGAGAGAATCTGACGTGGTCTGAAGCTCTGAGATACTGCAGACAGAATCATGTGGATCTGGTCTCGGTTCATTCAGAAGAGATTCAGCGTCGTGTGATGAACGTGGTTAAACGGGCGTCTACTGCGGCGGTGTGGTTGGGTTTACGTCACTCCTGCACTGTGGGCATCTGGTTCTGGGTGAGTGGAGAGACCGTGTGCTATCAGAACTGGGCTCCAGGGAACGGCACATCAGAGGAGGACTGTGAACACACAGTGAGATCTGGAGCAGTTCAGTCTGGAGGAGATCAGCGCTGGATCAGCCGTCCTGAAACTGACAAACTCAACTTCATCTGCAGCAGATATTAAGAGTGAAAGATACACAGACCTTTCATGTAAGAAAACAAGTGCTTGTGTGTTCACTTCCTTTAACTTAATTTTCATTCATCACTTTGTAAAGTAATAATTTTTCATATAATAATTTCAGTCTCAGCAGGCAGTCACACCTGAGGGTTAAAAAGGCAGAAATCTTTTGCTCAGATATTTGTTAATGTTGTTCAAACTTATTCTTCAGTAAACTGTTTTTGAGCTGTACATTTTCTAAATTGTTCTTTTGAGGGTCTGTTTTTCTCCAAGTGGGTGAATTTCTGTTGATGCATCAGTGTGATTCCTGTGGGTTTGTTTGCTACATTGTAAGAGCCTCACTGGTCAGAACTGCTTAACATATTTTTAGCTTTTATAAACTTTTTCAACGTGCACTTTGTGTTATTTAGTAACTGCAAAATTATGAGATTCTTATTTAATTCTGTAAGAGGTCATAAGGGCATCATATTTACTCATCATTAGAGAAAATTTTATACTGTTCTACTTCTTTCAGTTTAATCATGATATAATGTACACTTTTCAAAGTACAATTAAATAAAATAATGTAATTAAGTATCATATGAATGAATGTCTGTATTCTTATATGTGCTTTATGGGTACTTCTCTCTCTCTCTCATGCCTAAAGACTTGTATGTATTATAATCATATCTTTAGAAATGCTCTTAAGCAGCTCTTGAGAAGAATATTCTTTGTGTCTCAGCAGACATAAATCTGGTTTATTCTTAAAAAGGCAGAAGTGAAGATTGGGTATAAAATATTGTGTGTTTGATCCCAAACAGACAAAGATCAAAATCATGAGATGAGCTGATGATGTTTTTATAGAGATAAATGTAAATGAGTGTACTGTATTATAGCGCCATCTAGAGACAAGCAGGAGTCTGTAAACTCGTCTGAATCTGCTTCACTGTTTCAGATGTTCAGACACTTTTAGATCAGAATGAGAAGATCTTTGCTGTTTGGACCCGTTAATGTTCACATAATATAAATACACTCAAAAAATTATTTTTGAAAGATTATTTACATGTAGTAACATTTATATTTAGAACCATATTGTCCTGAAGAACCATTTTATGCTGAAATGGTTCATAAGTGTTCTTTATTCCCACTTTTTAGTTTTTTTTTTAATCTGTAACTGTCAAAGCCTCCTTAAAATTGATTTTCTGGCGCTCAACCATCCAATAACCCTGATAGCACATGTACATCAAATAGTCTTCTATTTGACCTCTCCATTTACATCTGCAAGACGTATTTTTTAGAGTGTTTGCTCATCTGCAATATGTCTATAGGACGTTTCCTCTCACATGTCAAATCGATGTTTAGAATATGTCTGTAAGATGTTTATGATTTAAAATGTATGTAAAACTGACATATTAGAGATGTCTATCAGATGTTTGTACACAGCAGCTTTCCAGATGAAGCGATCTTTAACAGACATCTTGCAGAATGTGTGCTATCTGGGAACATTGTCACACACCAACCCAGTATCACGCCAAAGCGTGTAATAGACACGTTGGTCCACTCGAGGATGTGTGTCAGTGTAACGCTTTGCCTCCTCTAGGCATGAAAATGACACGCATGTATGAAGGTGGAGTTTCCACTAGAGTATCAGCAGGGGCGATCATTTCCCCAATGCCAGCAACTCCACACGGACCAAAGACAAGCGATATTAGAGTGCATTAAAAGATGGATTTTAGGTGACTTAAAGACGCATATGGTTTCCACCTGTCTCGTAAAATAGTCGATCGTTCTGTATATATGAATGGAATTATGTAATTTGAAATGTGCCTATGGTGGGAAAGGGATCGTGTAAAAAGTCCACACATTTACCATATTGTTTACCATAGTAACTGTTGCTCGACCATGTCATGTGTGGTCAATGCACAGTAACCACAACATATACCATGCTTCTTCCACCGTAACTGTAGTTTTACCTTGGTATTTGTGAAGTTAAAATAGGGTTTTACCATAGTAACTGTTTACTGTCTACTCTTTGTATTTAAAGCACAGTAACACAGCACTTACCATGGTTTTACCACAGTGACTGAACTTTTAATGTGGTATTTGTAGTTAAACCACAATAACCACAACACTTACTATGGATTTACCTCACTGTAGTTTTACTGTGGTATTTGTGGTTAAAGCACAGTGACAACAACACTCACCATGCTTTTACCACAGTAGCTGTGTTTTTACTGTATACTATTTGTAAAGTGCAGTAACCACAACGCTTGTCATGCCTTTAAAACCTTTTTGTGAAGTAATTGTAATTCAATATTTTTCTTGCAGTTATGTCAGATCACATACTCCAACAACAAACTGTAATCCAACAGCTCTTTTAAGAAGCCATCTCTCTCTCTCTCTCTCTCTCTCTCTCAGCTTTTCCTTTCCCATTTTTCCCCCGAGCTGTAATCCATAATTAATTTACACATCCTCTCTCTCTCCTTCTGTGGTTCATCATGGCATATTTTTAAAACTCAGAATAACATTTTGACCAAATCTGTCAGAAAGCTGCTAGAATGAACAGGGAACTTGACCTCGAAGCTCCTGTTGCTGATCTTGAAGAAGTTGCCAGGGAGGTTGAATGAGAATGGTTCAATCCTTCACAGGTATAACTGATTTGCTTTAATGAACGCATCCTTATTTTACGTGTTAGTAATTACTTTCCTTATAGTCCTTCCTCTAAAATATTTTGGTCACAGATCATTTTTAACACACTGCCTCAACATGGATATGTTTCTCTTTGTTTCAGCTGAAGCGGAAGGACAAAGGAAGGCCTGTCATGAGATTTGAATTTGGCCATCTTGTGCATTTACAGAGAAGACCAAAAGCTGCAAAGGCAAACATTTCCAGTGGTACGTCTGTGTTGACTGAACTTTACTGCAGTTACATTTTGTACAGCATTTGATGTTTCTTAAACTTTGGTTTACATATCCCACGGCCCCATCAGGCAGAACCCTCAACAAAGTGTCATGTCGAAGTAGCAATGATGCATACAATTTACCAAGTCAGAAAATTCATATGATATTATACAAGCGAACTCGTACAAAGTTCTATGACTTTTACTCCGACTGCTGTCATTGGCCATTGCCTCAACTCTTGTACAGATTGTGCCCATTGTAATTAGTCAGAGTGTTTATATCATAAAGTTTATATTAAGTCCATTGTATTCTTTATTGATCTTTATGAATTGGCGCCGTCTCTTCCCCGTTCAATCAGTGAATGATATCTACCCAGATAGCAAGCAGACGTTGATTCAACATCGATTTTTGGTTGTAAAGGTCAATAACTTAAACTTGTTATACTTTTATACTTATTATGACTATAAAAGTGCTGTTTTGTGTGACTACCACGTGCTGGGGTGACATTTTTCACATATGAATGGGTCATAGAACTACTTAGTGTCTTCGAACAAGTCCGTTAGCATCTACCGTTTTCAGAGGAGTTATGCTAACTCCATAGACTGAGCTCTTTATGAAAGTTTGGGATTTTAATAACATATTTATGTGTAGATGAGAGGCTTTGACCGTTCTGTAAAAGTTTTGCTGGTAATTTTTCAATGGGTGATTGGAAATAGACTTTTTTAATTTAACCTAAATATACACTAAGGTTCCCGTTAATCGGTGACGTCATTACATCAGCGCTTCAGTTCAAATTTACTTTATTGTCTTTGACTGATATTTAATTGTGGGTTACATCATCACCTTTTTCAAACCTGACCTGATTAGTTCACATCCCTGATATTACAAAGAACTCAAGTTTTAATTGCAAATGAAAACCGATTGATCTGCTATGTACCTCTGTCTTTTTTATATATCATCTTCTCACCCATATGTTTTTATTTTGTGGAACACAAAAACAGAGAGTGACAGTCTCAGTCACCATTTACGTTAGGTAAGCAAACCAATTAGATCGATTTTATGTTGATTCTGTGACGTCGTTTCAACCAACTGAAAATCAACGTCGATTCAACGTTAGGTAAGTGAACCAATTGCGTCGATTTTCCGTTAGTTTAGAATGGCGTGCCTGACGTTGGATCAACGTTACCCCGATGAGCAAAACGATGTTGGATCAACATCGGAGATCAACGTTGTTTCAACGCCACGAGAAACGTCGATTCTATGTTAGTTTGCTATCTGGGTATCCACACCTCAGAGTCTGCCTTTCTTGCCGTGTTGATTTTTATTGAACACATCTGTCTAAGAAGCAAGAATCTGGAAATGCGTGACACATCAGATCTTCAATTAATTTGGCCAAATCAGATCACTTAAAGCTGTGCACAACAAGAACAATAACTATAATTATGAGAATTATTTTAACATCCACACCAACAGATGATACCGTTCTGTTTATAAGCGCTCTGCGGTTATGATGTCTGCCATTATATGCTCAAGCTCTTTAAAGTCTGGTGGATTCTGATTGGCTGACAATATTTTTATAGTTCATCAGCTGGAACAATTTGTTCTGAAAGAGATTGCAACGATATTGTTCCTATGTGTCATTAAATGTTAAATAGATGTGGTGTAGACTCATCCTTGGTGTGAAGAGGACTTTAAATTGCTTACAATAAAACTTGCAACATGTAATCGTATTTAAAATAATTCATATTAATATAGCTTGCTATTGAAAATACAGCTTTTTCTAAGGCTGCTTTCCTCTCATTCCGGTAAACTTACACACAAAATTATGCCTTTCTCTGCCCATTTCTCTTCATCTCATTCCTTTACTACCTCACTCACTGACATATTATTTTGTGCTCTGTTGTAAGGTAGAAAAAGAGTTTGCATGATGGCCTTTTCTCAGACTCTGAATCTGATGTATATAGATGAACTCAGGAGCCTGATGGAGTTGCCAGGGAACTTGAACTTGAAGTATATAATTATAGCTGTCTTAATTTATATGTTTAAACAACAATAATAATTAAACATGGGGTCAATAGATATTTTCTTGTTTTAAAGCTGAAGACCAAAAACACAAAGACAATCAGTCACAGCAAACCAGTCAAACCAGTCCTGATGAGGATGAGGAATGAACGTGGCCTTCTTGTGCCCAAACAGAAAAGACAGAGAGCTGAAAAGTTGCACATTTCCATTGGTGTGTCTCTATTCAAGCAATGTAGTTATATGTGGTACATCATTTGATATTGATCTCTCAAAGGACTCTTCAAGTCAGCAGTTATCATTTTTTCACATATACATCTTTTTATAGCAACTAGAATCAGCAAATCAGCTGTGCCATCATCTTTGGAATTTGGGCAGGAAATTACTGAATATGGTGAGTACTGACACGTGCACCTGTATTCACCAACACTATTTCTCTGGAGTTATTGTTGATTTATTGTTTTGTCTGTTTGTTTGAAGGAGGATGAAGCCAGTTGATGAAGAAATCAATTCAGTGGACTCTAGCCTGAACCCATCAGTTATCTGCTGTGAAGACTGCATTCACGAACAGCTCTACTGTGACAGCGCAGATGTTACGGCCCGTAAAAGTAAACTTCACAAATGAACAACTGCAAGATAGTCGTGGAGGGATTATTTTGGCCCATACCTCCAACGACCCCCAACGGGAATCAATGTACGGGAATCAATGGTAAGTCCAGTGCAACAATTGTAAATAAAAATACTATATATTGTTTATTGATTTACCAAACCCTAAATACATGTTTTGTCCCTCCTGGACATCTACACAAGTCAAGTCAAGTCACCTTTATTTGTATAGCGCTTTATACAATACTGATTGTGTCAAAGCAGCTTTACAGTGTCAAACAGGAAAATAATTTGTCAATAATGCAATAAGACAATAACAAAGAGTCATTTTTAATGGCTAAAGTCAGCTCATTGATGATTCTACACCAGGTGCTGTGTGAGGAAAGCACAGAGGACCGTCAGAGACTCCAGCCACCCGAGTCATGGACTGCTCTCACTGTTACCATCAGGCAGACATTATCGCAGAACCCGCACCAGCAGACTGCGAGACAAGTTCTTTCCACAGGCAATCAGACTGAACTGAACTCGTACCAGTAACACCACACACCCCACCAACCTTAAATATACTGACTGGACTCCGACTCACTGTTATTCTGCACCCTGACATTCTTTTTGCACAAATCCATACTGTACTGAACTGCAAAGGTATATGTGTACTGTGATTATTGTGTTTATTATTGTTTTCATTTTGTGCTCTATGTATATGTGACGAGTGGGGCGGGGCCGAGAGCTGTGGGAACGGAGCGATGCCGGTGGAGTAAATGCTAATGCGCGACACCTGCGCCACTCACCGGTCTCAAGTCCCACGGAGGAGCTCCGGAAGGATAAAAGGAGGAGTGACGACAGTGTTGGACGAGAGAGGACCAGGCCTGGATTTTATTATGTGTTTTGGTTCTGTTTGTGCGCGACAGTTGTCCGTGAGGGGCTGTCACGCTATTTTGGGTTTATTTCATTATTAAAGTTTTCTTTAAATGTTCGCCGGTTCCCGCCTCCTTCTTCCCGATCCACCGAGGGCTATCCAGTGCCGCCGCCAGGCATCGTGGAAGAGTTTACCCAGCTGGTGGAGGGCCGATCGGCAGTGTGTCTGTGTAAATGCTAATGTGTGACCCCTGCGCCACTCACTGGTCTCGAGTCCCACGGAGGAGCTCCGGAAGGATAAAAGGAGGAGTGACGACAGTGTTGGACGAGAGAGGACCAGGCCTGGATTTTATTATGTGTTTTGGTTCTGTTTGTGCGCGACAGTTGTCCGTGAGGGGCTGTCACGCTATTTTGGGTTTATTTCATTATTAAAGTTTTCTTTAAATGTTCGCCGGTTCCCGCCTCCTTCTTCCCGTGACTACGAACTTTGTTACATTGGTGCCGAAACCCGGGAGGAAGGAGGGACACGCTGCCAGAGATCCCTCGCCGCTGTGGTGAATCCGCGGTGCCATCGAGCATGGCGGAGCAGGCGTGGTGCCATCGAGCATGGCGGAGCAGTCTGCCGCCATGGACGCTCGAGGCGGTGGGCTGGAGTGAGTTGCCAGGGGGGGGCGGTCGAACTCGCTGCCGGCCGCCTGGGATGTGGAGGGATGGCTAGCCAGTTCCCGCCTCCTTCTTCCCGTGACTACGAACTTTGTTACAGTATAGTATAATATTGTACCATATATTGTTCTCAACCTGTATTGAGTCCCTTATGTATATGTGTTGCATATATATTCAATACTTGTCATCCATACTGTCAGAGTTTGAATTCCACCATTTTCACTTGCGTTCATGGTATTGTGACAAAGTGATTAGATTTGAATTGGTCACATGTATTTTGTTCATCAGTTGGACTGTAGGGTGATGGTAAACAATTGCAAATTGTTTATGACATGGAAGAAGAAGATTGTGATAGGCACATGGACAAGCAAGCAAGAGGAAGAAAACCAGAAGAGCTCTGATGTAAATATCGATATGCAATTATTTGTAATTAATTAGATTACTTAATGAACAAATAATAATGATTTAGATGAAAAATAATTCATTAACAGCCATAATTGTCACTCAATATATACAGTAATTGTAATACCACTTATCCGGTCCCTATGAACATCACCAGCATTTATTTACAGTTAATTTAATATAAACACTTTTTGGAGATTTTTAAGATTTAATAAAAAAACAAAAAACAAACAAAAAACCAATAATGGCCACCAAAATATTAATTGTATTTAAATTCCCGCCACTAATTTTGTAATCTTATCACCAACCAATTTTGGGTGCAATGCTCAGGTTGTCCTGTGGTGGCAGTGATGACAAAATAAATGTATTGTTTCATAACTTTTATGTCAAGAGGAAATTACTCACAGCGAGACCGCATGCAGAGACCTCTTTTCATCAGATTTCCAGCTTTCAAGTGACAGCAGCAGTTTACAAACTTCTGTCAGTCACACAAAAGGAAGAATGAAGAGCTAACGCATGGGATTAATTGCTGTAGATTATCTTTTTCTCCCTTTTATGACATTATGTCTTGTAAGGGGCAAAATATTGAGGCTCCTTTATCCAGTTTGGATGCGTTTCATTCTAATTGGTCAAGGACCCTAATTCTTTTTATGTCTAGTAGCTTACGATTCCAATATAATGTTGAAATTCAGACAAGTATTGAGTTTACATGTACATTATTATATGAAATCACCTACTACAGTCAGCCATTGAATACTATGGGCCTAAAAAATGCGTAACTTTCAGGTATACCTTTTTTATTATACACGTAATATTTTCTTCATTCTATTTATTTTTTTTCATTTATTTTCATTTAACTAACACACCTCTAAGAATGAAAATACCTGCATGTTCAATAATAAGTAAATAAATAAACAAACAATCATGGGTGTAGCCTGCACAGGATAATTATTTAAATGATCATATATTTTTAAAAGAATATAATTAATTTAATGAATATCAAGGACTTTTGTCAGGGTTAATCCATTTGACCTAATCAATATGTGCCTATTCATAAAATATGTGATATGTTACATATTTACATCACAAAGTATAGTATGCAAATGTTTATGTAAATGTATAAAACGTATTGTACCTTCACTGCAGTACTCCTTGTAGGCTACTTGTAGGCTACTTATACTAAAACTGCTTACGTAAGGGAAATTTCACCCAAAAAATGGAAATTGTGTAATCATTGTGTCATCATCAAGTTGCAAATCTATGAGATTCTTTCTTCTGTTGAGCACAAAAGAAGATATTTTGCAGAATGATGGTAACCAAACAGTTAAATGTGTAATTTTCTTTCATGTATACCTTTTTTATTATATAGATGTAATATTTTCTTAATTCTATTTATTTTTATTTATTTTTATTTAACTTTTTGATACACAATACCCTGTTGGGGCAACTTAATGGCTGCACTTTGTTCTTCCGATGTTCCACCACTTTAAGACAAATGGATTTGTTGTGTTTTCATATTCAAGAGATTATAAGCTAGATGCAACTTTATTTGGGTTTGCATCGAATGTTCTTCGACTTTTATGCATGATAAATTTGTTTATGAATAAATATTGATCTGTTGAAAGCAGTTATATTACGTTAGATGCCAAAAGCTCTCCTCCTATTCAAACTTGACATTGAAGGGTTGCATACAACATATTTGCCCACCGGCAACTATAGTTGCCGCACATTCAAAATTCAAAAAAGATTTTCAAAAAAAAAAAAAAAAAAAAAACCTGGGGAAAATAAATGCAGAACATTTTCACATAGGACACTATTAACATGACTATATGCATGAAACCATTCAGAAAAATTTGGGCACAAATGGATTAATTTAAAAACCAATTCAGTTCTTTAAATCCAAGCATCTAATAATTGTGTTATTTATAATGATTATAAGAGTTTAAGGTATGACATAATATATTTATGTAAATAAATATAAATTACTATGTTTGTGTAGTATACATAAGCACGTGCATTTTTATGAATAAAAATTTATTTCAGTCATATAAATTGCCATATTTGAAAGTGCTAAAATAGGTGATAAATGTCTATTGCAATAAATATGATCTATTTCTTCAACTACTCCTTCCTGCAACCCTGACAGTGACTGCTTAATTTAGGCTAAATTTGCAACCCTGTTACTTGTAACTGTTGCACTTTTTTACTGTTTAAAGTCTTTATTTACTTTTGATATTTAATTTGTTTTCCTTATACCTAAGTTTTAATCCTGCATGTACGGTATTCTACAGACAGACTCCGATCAACTGTGTCTTCTGTCAAACCTGTAAGTGGGAATGTGTTTTATTATGTCAGTAATAATCAGACAGTGGCACAAACAGGTATTAAGGAATAACACTTTCATTATTATTTTCAGATGTGTGCAGGAATTTCAGAATTATATATGATTAAAATTGGTTTTGGATGTTGTTAAACTCACACCTTAGCTACACTTCATATAAATATACTTCCTCCTCACTGTAAGCATCCAAGTGATTTTTTGATTCAGAAAAATGCAATACAACATGCAATGCTGTAGTAATTTATTTAGAAAGCAAAGATGAACAAAGATGGGTGTGTTCGGGCTGTAAATACACAACCTGCAGCAAACTGAAGTTAAGAATTTCAAAGCTTTAAACCTTCACCATTCAAACCTTTTCTGAATGTGCACCGAAAGAGCTCTTAAGGATTAAAGGTGCATAGGTAAAATGAAAATGTGCACGTATTGTTCAGAAAACAGTAGTTTGATTAAATTTGCTTATAGGATCATTGGACTGTGGTGTGACATCATCTTGTTCCACTTAATCTGGCAATGAAATCAGAAAAAAAAAAAATTAATTAAGGCAACAGAGACATAATAGTATATATTACTGCATTCACGCCATGCCGTAATTACTGTGATTTCGAGATGACAACACATGACATTCTACTTGGAGCTGTTCACACCCTTGGACTTGGAATTATTGCACTATCAATGCCTAAAGATAGCGCCTAATGAATCTGAGGTGGTCAGGTGGTAGTGGTACGAGTTTAGCTCTCAGAAAACTCCCAGTTCACAAGTTGTAATTACGTGTTCTACGAGGACCTGAATGCTTTTTCCAAGTAATTACGATAGGGCATGAACACTTATGTATTGTAAATGTACACATACAAATTTCTACACACCATGTCTCTCTCCTTTTATCACTTACCTGAATATACCTCAACTTCACACAGTGTGAGGTACTCATTGCGTCCAGGCACAATAAGGTTGACGTATCGACCTTTAACATGCTTAAACTCAAATATTTTTGTGTTTCCAAGTGGGATGGGCCCAACAATTGCAGCCCTGTGAAGACACACAGAAACAGAGAAAAAGAGAGGGGCATATCAGATATACTTCTGTCAAAGGCAAGTTTGTATTAAAATGATTAATTCAAAGTAATTTCATCTTATTTACTAATTTTCTAACAATTTATGTAAGGATTAAGAGAGAGACAGCACTTACAGCTCATTATTGTTGCCGTTATTCTCCAGGCTGTTGCCGATACGGATCTGAATACCCTCGATCCTCTTTTCACAACAGTCTCCACGATTAGTGATGCTAACCCTGGTTACCCTGTAGACGTCCAACAAGTCAACTCTCCACCAGGGGTTCATGTCCCCGTTAGTCACGCTGCATGAGCCGAGTGCATAACTTGACTGCCTGTTGCCATCTACAGCATTTTGAGCAGCTCCTAAATCACTGTATGTGGAAGACTGAACAGCTTTGCCTCCAAGAGCAAGATTCCCTTTTAACATAAAGTAATAAACAATAACTTTTTTTTTTTACTTTAATGTACTAAAGTATAATCCCAATATAATGTGCAAAATAATGCTAAGCTATGTAATGCAAATGATTATAACATGGCTATCTTGGATACTTGATTCTGATTGGTCAGTCTTGATATTCTGAGGTCTGATAATTCCAAATAATGACTGTCATTAATAGCAATGATGTATAACAGACCGCTCATCTGGGTATCTAATACCTGTCCTTCTTGAAGAACGTTAAATATTTCACATACTTTTGAAAATCCAGCGTTTAGTTGATCCTGATAAGCGCTCATTGTCACAGTTGTAAACACGACGGCTTTCTTCTAACATGAGGGGGTTTGGAATCACAGCATCTTTGTTACCAGGCGTAACGTTAAAGAACACGACACACAAGTCTCCTGGAAATCCTGTATAATTCAACCAATCCGATGACGACTTCGAAACTCCTGAAGTGTTTCCAATTTTGTGTGCGATATGCATCAGCTGTTCAGTCAACGGTCTGTGGGCGTGACGTCTGATGCTGAGACTAGGAGCTATTGTTCTTCACAGAAGCTTTGCGTTTATTACAAATGAGCTGATAATATATTTAAACTCAAATCAAAATTTTGTGTCCAATTTTTTTTATTATTTTTTTTATTATTTTTTTGTGGCAAGTTGCCGTCTAACAAGCCAGGGTTCTAATCATCCTGTCGGGGTTTATTTTGTGATAACAACTGTCTGGATGTGCATTATCCCTTATTGGTCAGCAAATGCTCAGTAAGAATATTATATGTGTTACTGACAACATTCACAGTAATGCAGAGCACTTACTTGGAACACAAATGTACAATGGTTTGTTCTCTTCTGTTAATAAAATAATTAAACAAACAAACAAAACATTAATAAGAACATTAAAAAAATATTTCAATTCTTCTCTACAGTCATCTTCTCTCTCTGTCCCTCACCTGCAAACACCTCGACTTCACACAGAGTGATGATTTCATCGTTCCCAGGTAAAAAAATGTTGACATATCGGCCGTTAACAGGCTCAAACTCCAACACTACTGTGCCATCAGGAACAGTGAGAACAGTTGCAGCCCTGCAAATACATAAAGAACAGTGTTAAAATGGAAACCAGACGCCTCTAAACACAATGTACATGTCTAAAAAATAAATTAAACTGTACTGAAATCAAATGAGTTTGTATAGCACTCTTCACAATCCAAATGATTGTTCATGTTTTATATTGCATTGCTATAAGAAACAATGGTCTAAACTTACAAATGTCTAATCACAATATGAAAAAATATGTTCAAGTAAAGGATATCTCCATGAAAGTGGCTGACTAAGTGGTTGGAGGAGGTACAATTTTGTCTCCCGTTTTGTCAAACTAGACAGAACATAAACATCCGAAGATGATAAAAACATTTGAAACATTTCTTACAGCTCATTGTTGTTTCCGTTGTTCTCCAGCTTGTTACCAATACGAATCTGAGCTCCTCTGAGTCGCTCTTTGCAACAGTCTACACGATTAGTGATGGCAACCTTGCTTATACTGTAGACATTTCCTGTGCATCTGAAGTTTCCCAATTAATATTAAATGCCGCTTTGAATAGCATACCACTCACGATAGTTGGAGGGAAAAGGAAAACGGTCCCATGGTGGAATGATAAATGTACAGAAATGATAAAAGAACGAAATAATGCTCTGAGAATATTAAGAAATAACCATTATTTAGAAATAACTAAATAATATTAAGAACTTGAACCAGGAAAATCTAATTAATTATCAGAGACATTTCCGAGGTCAGCTCTCCACCATGGGTTAAACTCAGCTTTAGTGTGAGTGCATGAGCCCTTCCCGTAATTTGCATCTCTGTTTCCATCTACTGCATGTTCAGCATCTCCCTGTGAGTGGCCTAAGGAGGACTGCACCACCCTGGCATTAAGAGCAAGATTCCCTGTTCGATATGATATGAAATTGACAAAAAATGATAAGATGGCTTCGAGGCAATACAAACAAATCAATCAATCAATATCAATGTCTCAATCAATAATCAATCAGTTTTTAAATCCAGGCATTTTACTTGTATTATTCTAAACATACCTTTCGAATCAGCGACACTCAGCCCAGTAAAAAGTGTTAGTAACAAAACCACATGGATGGCCATCCTGATTTAAGACATAACAACACATTGTCACAAATGGGAGAGGAGAACAGTGGTGGATAGTAAATAAGTATAGTTACTTTGTTACTGTAAGTACAATTTTGAAGTATGTGTACTTTTAATTTTCAAGTATTTTTAATTTGGGAAACTTTTACTTCAATACATTCCACATCATAATATTGTACCTTTTACTCCACTATATTTCATAAAAACATGTCGTTCCTTGTTATTTTGAACTGGAGAAATCGCCACACCACAAGGCATGATAGCGGTGTCCGATTCATGAACAAGCTGATTCTTTTCAATGAGCCTGTTAAATTGGTTCGCAAATCACATTGAACGATTCATTTGCGAATTGGATTGAGCGGTTCGCAGCTGTTCTGGAGTCAACACTGATTCAAATGATCTGGTCAGAGCGAGACTCCAGTTAATGATTCACTGAATTCACAAGTCTGACTCAAAATGAGCCAAGAACGGGAGATCCTCGGAGCTTGAGTGCGCACACAACTGATGGACACAAAATTGTATAAAGTTAGATTAAAATGTACCATATAAAAATGTGCTCAGAGAAAAAAAAAAAGTGCTCAGAGATAACCTAAAGTGTTGGGCCTGTCAATTTTTTTTTATTTGTAATGTGATTGGGTGCTTTCTGGATGATGATCAATCAGGTATCAGGATATGAGAGGGGGCCGGGGCGAACAACGAGGACAAGAGGAGAGAACGCAACGCACGTGATAGAGCCCACACTCCGGAACAGATGGTGGCGGTAAAATAAAGAAAAGATTTTAAATGAAAATAGGGATATGTTTTTTAAAAAAGACCAGTGGTGGAGGTAACGAATTACAACTACTCACGTTATTGTAATTAAGTCGTTTTTTCGGGTACTTGTACTTTTTTGAGTACATTTTTAAAGCTGTACTTTTACTTGTACTTAAGTACAAATTAAGCAAAATAATCTACTTCGTTACTTTGAATTCATAGTTCGTTACTGAGTACCCCCACAATTTGAATTGATATTCAAACCTTTGACAGCACTACTTCAGTAGCCAATAAAGATATCCGATCGTAAACGGACCAATAACAGCCCTGATATCTGAACCGGGAAA